AATCAAAAGATAATGTCAATGGAAACACTATGATACTGGTAATGATAATGAGGAACAGGAAGATGATGTTAGTGAAGCGAAAATGATGATGGTGATGTATATACATCTGAATCAGTGACTAATATTAGTAATTAAATCTGTTTTGGTTTTTTTTAATAATAATAATAAATTTTTTTTTAAAAAATAAAAAAGATTGGCAGATGCAGTGCGCATGATGCGCATGAAGTTTGAAATTTTCATGCAATTTCCCATCCCTAACTGTATATAAAAGGACCTTTACTTTTTTGGCTTCACGGGAAATTTTTAAATTTTTTCTGTAACTTTATTATCTATCAAATTACAGTTTTATTTTTTTAATTACATATTTTTATGGGGCCCTGAAGCCTTTTAAAGAGAGCCCCCAAAAATTGAGCCATATAATTCTATTTTATTTTATTTTCTAATACTAAATGCCGAAAAGAAAAATAGCCGAAATAGTAGAAAGCAACAGCACAGAAGAAAAGAAAGAAAAACCAGTTCACACTCCAAAATGGTATAAAATTTTTTACAAAACATGTGAATCTGGACGCTGCTACACAAAATTCATGCCGCAAAAAAAAATTTGAGCCCAAGCATTGCGGGCATTGAATTATACATTGACATTTCAAAATTTGTAACGATAAAAAAACCGTAAACGATTTATGAATACGCATTTAACCATAAATCAGTCGAAAAAAATAAAACCAGACAAGATGATAAAATTTATTTCAATAGCCCCATATAAAATTAATTTGAAAATTGTTTTATTTTAATAATAGAAAAAAAAATGAGAATGAGGATGTAACTATATATACAAGGAAAAAAATTGATAAATAATGAATGATGATAATTGTTTGTAATAAATAGCGATTTTTATTTTACTCTGTAATAATAATAAAAGCACTTGTTTTTTAAAATCTATTTAAAATTGCCACCACCGCCACCGCCACCATTACACTCAAATTGTTTTATTCAAAGGATACAATACAATTACAATTATTAAATATAATAAATTGAGAATAATTTTTTTTTAAAAAAAATACATAAATGTAAACACCAAACCATACACACCACGCATTCTAAAAATATGTACAAAAAAAAATAATAAATAAATAAAATAATGTGTGATATGACAAATAAATTCAAAAAAAAAAATTTTTTTTTGAAAATATGAAAAGTAAATATGAAAATAATAAAGAAAATATGAGGAAAAAAATATTAATATTAAAAATACATATCTAAAAAAAAAATCATTTATTTTCTTCTATTTGAAGATATTTTAGATGGCACCGTGCTACCAGGCGCAGGAAGTTTTGAATTTCTTGACGTTGCCATTGACATTCTATTTGCTGTTGTCGGTGATTTTTTACTAGTAGTAGATTTTGTGGGTGAAGTAGTGGTGGTGGTATTTTTACTCTTTATATTACTATTATTGCTATTATTATTGTTGTTGTTGTTACTGTTACTATAATTATTTATTGGTGAAGGTGATGTGCCTCTACCAACAGAAGATCCGTATGATATGGAGCTTGTAAAAGATCTCAAAGAATCAGTTTCTGATCCACCAAGAGGAGAATCTGGTGGACTATAACAATAATTATCAGGTTCATCATAAATACTATCTGTTTGAAGACTAAATTTACGTGCAATTCCTTTAGCTGTTTTAGCATTTGATCCAGCAGATGACGGTGTTCTAATATTACTGTTAGGTGAAGTGATGTGACTTTTAGATGATGCTGTGTTAGTAATGGCTATTGAACTAGGTCTACCAAGCCTACTTAACGTTCTGGTATTGTTTGGTGTATTGTTGTTGCTATTGTTGTTGTTGTTGTTACGAGGACTTGGAATATTTCCTGCCCTACTACTTGGTCTGGCTAGACCTGTCATTTGTGAAGGAGGACGTTTAAGTCCAAGTCTAGAATTATTATTTGCTGTTCTAGACAGTGTAGGTGATGTTGGCCTTGATGGTGATGAAGGCTGCATGCTAGCACGAACTTTTTTTGACGATGAATCAGTTGGCGAGTTAATTGAAGTCTTTGTAGTACCAGCCCTACTTAATGGTCTAAAATTTGATGATGTTGATGATGATTTACTCATAGATAAAGATGAAGATGGTCTTGGTAGTACTTCGTCAGCTGAACAACCACCACTAATAGATCTTTGACGAAATTTATTATTATATATTGCTAGTCCTCCTCTCGCATTAGTAGGTGATGCAATTCTTGATGTAGTAGGTGTAGTTGATGAAACGGTGCTGTCATCAGTCATGGTACTACTATTACTAGTGGTACTAATGCCACTTAATGATCTTGGACGAGTAGAATATAACGATGGCGATGGTGATGATGATGATGATGGTGATACTGCATCTGATTTATTTGCATTTGATCCAGGCTTACCAATTCTACTCGGTGCTCTTATTCCCAAAGTATTTGATGGTTTCCTTGTTCCACTTCCAGTTATTGTGCCTCTTGAACTAGTGCTTGCTGCCGATCTAGTAGATCCATTTGACATTGTTTCAAATAATTCATCCGGATCTGCTGTCGATGAGGCTTGTGATGATGTAGGTGATAATGGAGTTAATGGAGATATGCCGAAATGACCAAAAAATGCAGATTTTGACATTCCAGCTGGGATTCCTGATTTACCACCTGTTAATGAAGCACGTGGAGTTGGTGCTGGTGATGGTGATGGACATGGTCTCAGAATCGGTGTGATTTGTGTATCTAACAATAAATCTAATTCATCCTCCACTTCTTTTGACTCCAGCTAGAGATCATTTATTATTATAACATGAAAAATAAATAAACGAATAGTTTTAAAAATGCGAATATAGATATTTTAAAGCCGCTTACATCAAATATATTATCTTCGTTATTTGAAGTTTTCCAAAGGTCATCGGCTTCTTGATTATCAATTTCAAGTGGAGTATCACTTAGACTTTCTTCTTCCTCAGCTATAATACTAACAGGCCTGGCTGAATTAAAGTTCGGCGATGGGCCACGTAAAGGTGTAGTTGATGGTGTTAGATGTCTAGCAAGCTATTAAAAAATTATTTATATTAGCATATATATTTAGAAAATAAATAATGATATGTATATATGTGTATTATAATAAATAAATAAATAAATATTATACCTCGGATGGATCGATTTTCCAAAAATCTTCACTATCGTCACATAAATCGTCAACGTCATCGCCTAGATTAACACCGCCACCCGCATCTAAATCACTTGTTTGAGCAATCAATTCATCCAAATCTATCGAACAATCTGATTCAATGTCTGATATTAATCCATCTTTATATTTTCTAATTAATATGGAGGAAAAAAATTACAATTAATTTATTGATTGATTGATTGATTGATTAAAATCATTAATTTTTAAAAAAACTCGTACTTTTTATCATCTTTACTATTAATAGTTATTGTTGGTTGTTGTGAATCATTTTGATTCTTGGTAGGTGTTAAAATAATAATATCATCATCATTATTATTATTATTTTTAAGTTTTCTTTGTTTCATAAGGTTTTTTAGTTCCATTCTTTGTTTTGAACGATCAGCAGCAGCTCTTTGACGTTTTTCATCTGGTGTTAATTCTTCATTTGGTGATGGTGATATTGACGAATTTGAAGATGAAGGAGACGGTGAAAGTGAATTTGATGAATTTGATGAATTTGAACTTGAAGGTGAAGATGGTGAATTATTTAATTGTTCATTTAAATTAATTTCATCTTTTGAATTAAGTTCACTGAATAATATAAATAAAATTTAATTATTAGTAATTTTTTCATCATCAAAAAAACAATTAATTTGTTTATTATTACCTACCTTTCATTATTTAAATTTATTAATGATGGTTCATCTTTATTATCGTTACTATTACTACCATTACCGTTATTGTCATTACTATTACTATCATTACTATTACTATCATCATTACCAATATTATAAGGCTGTTTTTGTAAAAAGAACTCTTTAATACTTTCTCTTTTAGTTTGTAATTTTAATTTTCCTTCGTCCTCTTCTTCTGCATTTTCATTATCTTCTATATTATTTGTATCTTTAGATTTATTTATACTTTCTATATTATTTGTATCTTTAGATTCATTTTTGTCTTTAGACTCTATTATTTCATCTTCTTTATTATTATTATTTGAATTTTCTAAGTTATTTTCTGATGAAATTTCATTTATTGATGATGAAGACGACGAAGATGTTATTGAAGACATTGATGATGGTGATGATGACGGTGATGATGATGATGATGATGATGATGATGATGATGATGATGATGATGATGATGATTCTAAGTTATCTATATTGTTATTATTATTATTATTATCATTATTATTATTAGTATCTGATAATTCTTTATTATTTTGAATAATTAAAGATTCTACCTCTCCATTATCGTTACTATTATTACCATCATTATTACTATCACTATTATTATTATCACTATTATTATTATTTATTTCGCTATTACATTCATTTTCTTGATTTTTTTTCTTCTTTTCTTCTTCTAATTTACGAACTAATAATAACTCTCGCATACTATTTTATTATATTATTTATACAAAATAATATAATATATCGATATATGTTTCTCTCTCTCTCTTGTACTGTCTACTGTTTGTCTGTATAAAATAATTATTTAAGTATTTCTATTTTTGTGGATTTTTTATCTTTTTTTAATTTTTACGAGTTGTAAAAGAAGACGACAAAGAAATTAGGCTCTTTAAAATTTATTTCTTGGAATTAGTAGTATTTTTTGAACATTAATTAATTGCTTTTCTTCTTTACTTTTTTTTTAAATAATAAAAATTATGAAACAAACAAAATATATAATTTTTTAAAAATATAAATATTTTTTTACAATATGTAGTATTTAATATTATTAAATTGATTGATTGGGCTCGTGTAATATAGTAAAATAAAATACTAACTATCTAATACATACAATTATACTTAATTTATCTTTATACTAACAACTATTAACAAATAAAAAAAAAATTTTCAATTATTATTTATATTAAATATAAAAAAAAAAATAATTTATACAAATATATTATTATTATTATTATTATTAAAGTAATTATACAATTTATACGTACAATTATACACACGTACTTGCACATTCTCATTCTCATCTTAACAACTCTAATTCACTAATTCTAGTCTATTTAATATTTTTTACAAAATTGGTAAATTAGTTTCTAAAAAAAAAATTTTCACACATGCACGTTTTTATTATACTGGACTAAAAGATGTTCTGAACTCTTTTTATCATAAAGAAAACTAAACCTCTTGTACATAATAAAGAAAATATTTAATATCGGAAGGGCATCATTAATATCTTCCTACCATTCTGTTCCCACTATATTATTGCTAAGGCTGTAGACCCAATCCTTCGAAATGCATAAAATTATGAATTTTTTTGGTAGTTTCCCGCCCACCATACATTATACATACATATGTATGCATTTAAAAGTAACAAAAAACATTTGCTATCACGGATGTTTCTCTCCATCATCATGATTTATTGCAGATAAACAAAATAGAAGGTTGGTGAATGAACCGTAAAGTAATCAATCAAATAACTAATAGTAAAATCCGATCCAATCTCAAATCCGATCCAATCCAATTCAATTTTAAGGATTGATGCAATTCTAATTTAATTTATCGGATTCAAGAAAAATATGGAAATTTTCGATCATACTAACTTAAACGACTATTGTGTGACAACAACATCTGTCCGACTAATTAATTAATTGGTATTTCTACATGCGCGTGTTACCGTTTTTTGTAAATAACGTGTTTTAAATAATCATTAGACTCTATTTATCAAACCATTATTATTATTATTGATAATATTGTTGTTGTTTCTGACTTTCTTATTAAAGTTTAAGTAATAATTAATGAAAAGGATATGAATGATCTGGTCTGTGCTTTTTTAATTTATGCAATATATGCAAAAAAAATTAAAACAATCAAACAATAATATTTTTATCGATTGTAAATAAGATTTATAATAAAATATTTGATTGATGAGATGTTTTACATAAGCGCGTTCCTTTTTATTTTTCATTTTTGATGAATGTTCGTTCACTCTTGAAAATAAAATTAATCATTTATCTATCGTTATTATTATTATTATTATTCGTTAATTAATTTTGATGAAAAATTTTCTCTCTTTAATTAATTTTTCCCATGATTTTTCTTCTTTTATTTCAAATGAAGATGCTTTAATTGAATATAAAAAATATTATCCAAATGTAAATCCAAATGATTACCAAGGTCATTTATTGCTTTATTTTTGTAAGTGGGTTTTTTATTTTTAAAAATTAAAAAGTTTCGATTAAAAATTAACGATTATTTATTTATTTATACTGTATAATAATAATAGCACTAATTATGACGCAAGTAAGTTAAAATTAACCTTAAATAAACTCAATTAATTAAACTTTAAAAATTAATTAATTAATCAATCTAATTTTTCCGCTCGAAATTTTTTTTTCTTCAGATAAATTTAATTTCGAGCTTTTTCGTCATTTACCAAACATTACAAAGGATTAAACTTAATTCAAATTTATCAATGGGGGTACGTCTACCAATGTACATAGCAATTAATAACGCGTTATCCGCTGTATCATATTCTGCTAATGTTATTGGTACGCTGGTAATTGGTATTCCCTGGGCTGGTAAGGCTTGTAAAATTTATGGGTTTTTTGACACATTCGTTATTTCAATGAGGTAAGCAGTATTATTGTTATTATTTGAGTATAAATATATCAGATATATGGTGGTGATTAATGTTATATTATTATTATGAATATTTTATTAGTGTTACTTTGATTGCTGTGGTTGCTGTAAAAACATATTTAAAGGTGATAAGGAGCCTTTATTTAGACACTGGTAGATACGATTACAAGTAAAAGAATTTACAATTTATATTATTAATTTTTTTTTTATCTAAAACAAACAAGCAATTTTTAATTTTATTATTCTATTTATTCTATTTGTAGAATATATTTAATAACAATAATTACTGCATTGATAACTTCTTGTATTGGTTTACCCTCTTATGGACCATCAAAATATTGGTAATTATTGATATGTATGTATGTGCCCATCACACACGTTCTCATTTTCACATATTTTATTTTAACTAAGGTGTTGGACTTCGCCTGGTGAATGGTCACTAGCAATATTACTATCATTGCTAATCTCATTTACAGCAATATTATGCCTATTTTGTTATTCAAGAATAATTTACATGATATTCACAATCAAACGACCAGATAGTAGTGTCAATGGAGGAAGAAGGGGAATCAACAACGAGCAACAAAAGACAGCAACATGTAAAATCCTAATTTACACTTTCAATTATTTGATCCAATGGACGCCAACTTTACCATTTATACTTGGGGTTGCAAATAGCGATGATCCGATTTGGGTTTATTATTTATATGTCTTGTCAACTAATATTGGCAGTGTATCAAATGCTATTCAATATATTTTTAATGAGAAATATTATATTATAGCTGTTGGTGATAGTAGTGATAGAGGATGTGATATAGCCGATGTAGGCGGTGATGATGAGATGAATAGTGCTAATAGCGGAAATAATGTTAATAGTGGCAATAATAATATTGAAAATGGCAAAAGTGTAGTAGATGAAAGTGTAGGTGGTAGGGAAGGTGGAAGCAATAATGGCAATCAACAAATAAATGATCAACAACAACCAAAAAATAAAAAGAATAAAAAGAAATGGAATAAACCATTTATCATAAGAAAACTAATTTCAATATTTACAAAGGATCCAATTAAAAAAATTAAGAGCAGTAATAATATTAATACTAATAACACTAATCATAGCAATAATAATCTGCACAATAATGATTGTGATGATATTATTGAATTGAGATCCATGTGTACTATCACTACCACCACTAATAATAACAATTCTTCTTCATCAGTTAAAAGATCTATTTCTAATTCATCATCAATTCAAATTGAAATTTTAGAATTGGAGAAGGCCGTTGTTGATGGTGGTGGTGGTGGTGGTGGTGATGATGGTGACGGTGGTGAATGCTCTTCTAGTATTATGAATAATAATTGTTGTTGTTGCTATAATGACAATAACAAATTATAACATAAATTATATATAAATATAAATAAAAAGAATACATTGTAAATAAAATTTTATAAATTAACCGTAATATTTATTTACAAAAAAAAAAAAATTTATGTATTTTAAATTGAATTATTATTTTAATTTGTAGTGACTTTATTTTCAGTTGTTGCTGTTGTTGTTGTTGCAGTTACTTTAGAGAAATATCCCGTCAAATAATTTGCTAATCCAAATGCTCGAGTTTCAGAAATTTCATTATTATTATTGTGAGTGTTATTATTAGTATTAATATTACCCTGATTTGAATATAATGTTACATTTGTATGATTACCGTTATTATTATTATTACTACTACTATTGCCACTACTCTTATCATGGTTGTTTCTTGGTGATTGTCTTCTCCTTAACAATGAATCTTTATTATTATCGTTATTCAATAACAATAATTTTTCTTTTGTTTCTTTCTGTTTTAGAGCTATTCTTTCCATTTCTTTTTCTAAATGTTGTTGTTGTAGGAGTAGACTCTCTGATGTAAGATATGCATCATCATCAACATCATGATTATTCTTTGCATCAGCAGAAGAACCAAAATATGAGTAGATGACGTTGTACGGAATTGTTGGATAAGTGCTAACAACTGATACTGCCGATGATAATGTGGAAAATGACGTGATCTTACTATTATCATTACTATCATCATTAATATTATTACCAATATCACTAATACCATTCTTTCCAACATCAACATTACCATTATTATCATTATTTAATACTGTTGCCAAATTAATTTGATTACCAAGTAAATTTTGTCCTTTTATTAGAGCATCATAAGCAATTTTTTGTAATGTGCTTAACCCTTGTCTACTCAATTCAATACTTTTATTTGTTGCCTCTTTTTGTGCCAATCCAATAGCTGAATCAATCTCTTGTTCGTGATTCGTTAATGTTGGATCAACGAATTTATTATATAAGAACGTTGCTCCCTATGAATGAATATCATTAATTGGAATAATAACTAGGAATATATAATATGAATATATTAATATTATTTACCTCCGAGCGAGGAAAAATCAACCATAGTATAAAAAACATTTTAATTTCATAATAAAATGGAAACCAGAATATAAAATTATCGAAAAATCCTTCCCACATTGTAAATATTGCCATTATGATCCAATACATTAACCACAGTTTTATAGTTTTAACATCATTTGTTTTAATTGCTTTGAATGACGCATATGTTGGATACAAGAATCCAAAGAAATTACTGTAAAAGTGAACGAGAAAAAATAGTGAATTGATGAATAGTTGGTTAGTTGGCTTACGAATTATATGATGAAAGTACTTACCGTATAGGCTTATAAAATAAAAAGCCAAACATTTTTATGTATATATATTCAACAAAGTTAAAATTATGATAGTTTATAATTGTTACAATTATATACTAGATTTATTTATTCTAAAGAAGAGAGAATGAAAAACAAAAAAGTTATAAAATGAAAAAATAGTTTTGTATTTTATTTATTTATTTATATTTTATTTTTTGCAACCATACACATTTGGTAAGCTTACTAAAATAGTAACTTCCATTTTTTATCAATTATCTATTAATTTTTCATTAATATTTTTTTCTTTATTCAACTAGTTGGGCAACTCTGAGTTTTTCTTTTAACATATTGACAGTTTTGTTAAGCACAATAGAAGTGTCTACTGCAGAATTGCTCTAGTACTGACAGGTCATAACCAGCCTTGAATGTGGGGACAGCCCACTTTTGTGATTGCCTAATTGGTTTTTATTCAAGTCAAGTTATAATGAAAAAAGTTGAATCATTAAGCAAAACTTCTACGAAGGAAACAAACATGAGGATTTATTTTTCTGATGCAAAGATCTCGGCTTTGATAAAGTTCTTCTTGGATTGGCATTGAAACAATGTATTAATCACTACGTACCTCAAATCAACGGTGTAATGATCGCGTTATAAACAAAAGGTGGAACATGTGAAATTGGCAATTAGAATATTTCAAAGATTATGATGAGGTAAAAAATGCAAGAAAAGTTTAATGTGTGTAATTGAATATGCTTTTATTCTAGTGTATTGATATCAATTATATTACCAAATTTGTTCTTTCTGCTAAATAACTTGGGATTCAATGAGGGAACTGAGAAACATGGTTAACTGAAAGGAGGGTAGTTTGTCCAATCACCACACATTTTTAATATATAGTTTTGCGATTACTAATACTTATATTCACGCTTTATATATTCAAGTAAACCATTCAACAAATGTAAATGTACATATATAATACTGATTACATGTGGAGTACAAGTTAATCGTATTTTTGAAATTTAAAAGTCTTAAAGGAAATTACTACAAACAACATTCATTTTAGCCGCAATTCAAATTTTTATATGCTGCAACTAGTTAATTCAGTAAGGAAACATACCAAACATAGAAATGGATTTCCCGTTACATTTTAGCTGAATCTTTTACTTTATAATTATTCCGTTTGTATAAGACTTCACAAATGAATTGTTAATAACAATGTTTTATTTAATTGTATAAAATATGCTTTACTTAAATATATAATAATTCATTGTATTCATTTATTCATTGATTTTTTTTTATTTGGCTCTATCACTATTATAATAATAATATTTATTTACTGCGGAAAAAGAAGCATATTAATATCATTGCATATCCATATTTAAATGGAAAAAATTATATGAATACATTTATTTTGTTTTATTATTATTAGTAATATGTAATAAAAAACAATCAATAGTTGCAAATTATAATAATCTTGGTAGGCTTGTAAGGCCATTTTCTTCATAGCCAATTATGAGTATTTAGAAATTCCAAAATTGGTATATATATATTCCCTGGCTGTAATTGAGGAGTGATGAAGAGGGCAACGAAAAAGGTGTTGATGAAAGTAATTCTTTATGGCTTCATTCTTTCCAGCATGAAGGCTTCTATATCAGCAAATGACAGTGATGATGTATTAGAATCAGTGGCGTTGTTCAAGTATAATCAAGAAGATCTTATTTCGTTGAATCCCTTTATATAGAGGGGATAACGTGAATTATAGTTTGTCTTGAGTTGTTTGAAATCCTGCCTATTATGTATGGAATCATGATTTCAACCAGATTATTTACGTTTTGACCCAGACCAAATTTTCTATGTCATGAAAACGATACCGAGATTTGATGTAACATTAATGGTACCAAAACTTGTTGATCTCAGCCTATTGCCAACCAAAGATTAGATTATGACAAAGTTGTTGTAAAACAATAAAAAATAAGAAATCTACCATTATTATCATAAAACGTATAGGTACTGATACCCAAATTAACCTAAAGTCACGTCTATGAGAATAGTTCACAAACAGTTTAATGCCTCGTAGTAAAATCGTAACAAGGTAAAATATAAAATGGAAAAATGGTTAACATTATTATTATGTAATTTTTGGGATGAGTCAAATTATTTAGCCACAAATGTGATCGACCAATGGGAGAGATTTTAACGTTAGTCGTCTGTTACCTCAAAGAACAAGTTTAATCATATATCCTGAATTCTCATGATCAAAATAAAACTGAAAATATTTATTATTGGTTCTGGGTTATTAGCTTTTAAAAATCATGCGTTTTTATACATATATTTTCCCAAATTTGAAACATTGGACTAGGCTCAGTTGTCTAATTTGGAAATCCTTTTACTTAATTTGGAGGTAATAAAAAATTTGATATATATTATTATTATATATTGTGTTAGAGTGACCCGCACCGTACCATCAACATAACTTGCTATGAATCCACCATTATCATCTTTATTCAGAAAATTTGAATACCTATAACGTTGTTATTCTTTTCTTTACCGAAAACCCAAAATTATTTTTTAGCAAATAATTAATTGTTTAAAAATAAAAGCCTACTTTTTTGGGGGTAAAGAGTTAAAAGAAAATTTTGATCACACATAATTACATAAATTATACACCCTCCTATACATATTATTTTATTATGTGTGTGTCAATGTTACATTGCCATTTTCCCACTGATTTGCGCATAATAATATAATAATAATGATAATGATAATAATAGCTGGTTGATAAGAGAACTTTTAAAATATTGCTATATACGCAAAATGGGTAGTCGAAAATGTCCTATAATATTAATGGTTGAAAGAGGGCCCCAAAAATTATAAAGGTTCGAGCCACGCTGTGATTGGCGGGTTAGTGAAAATCCTCTCCAAATTTGGCAGTTTTTGCATTTTTTAGAATGTTTCGGGGTTCTGAGAGAGAGATAAGAGAGATAGAAGAAAATTAAAGACTTTATCCAATTAAATCAAATAAATAATTTGTTAGAATGAATTCTTTCGCTTTAATCAAATTCTTTAGTTTAAAGAAGGCAAGAAATGGCAATCATCATGTGAATCATATATATAATTATCATCATTCATAACATATCATCATTACTCTTTTCTATCTTTTCTATGACACGTTCTTACATCTCAAAAAAGTGACGAACAACAACAACAACAATAACAATAACAATAACAATAACAAAAAATCAAAAGTTTTGAATTCCTTGTATTACACAATCTTTTCTATATTTTTTTAAAGAAGAAAAAACAATAACAACGAAATTTATTTTTGATGAAAAAATTGGGAAAATAAATTCAATTATATATATTAGTAATAAAATAAAATAATCATTACGTATACACATTTTATATATATAAATATATTTAAATAATTTTTTTCATATAAACACCAGTTCTGCCTCTTACTCATTTCTTTTCTTTTTTGCAAATTTTCATAATAACTAATAACAACAAACAAATAATATTAATATTTAATCTGTTCTTCGTCTTTCACTTTATTACACATTTAAGCTTTTTAAAATATAACAACAATGCCAAGAGGTTCTGCAAGCGCTGCTGCAAAAAGCAAGAAAGTTTCTAGTGCTCCTGCTCACCCAAAATATGCTGATATGATTAAAGGTATTCTTATTTATTTTAATTTAATGACTGTTAAAGGGCAACAAGATAATAAATAGTATTAATTGTTAATAATAATAATGTCATATAATAATTTAATAATAATGTTTAGATGCTATCGTTGCCTTGAAAGAGCGAAAAGGAAGCAGGTATATATATACATACAAATATAATAAATAAAAATAAACTGTTTATATATATATATATATATTTATTATAAATTATTATCATTATTATCATGATATCAGCCGCCAAGCAATCAAGAAATATATTTTGAATACGTATAATCTTCCTGATAATCCAACTACAAACAGCCGTCTTCGTATGGCTATTACTAAAGGTTGTGAAAAGGGTATTTTCTCTTTCCCAAATGGTATGTATTGATGACATGATGATGTATTTAATAATAATAACAACAATAATAAAATCATTTAACAGGATCATTTACATACATATATGTACTATAATTAATTAAGGTCCTAGTGGCACTCTTAAACTTGTAAAAAAGGAAAAGGAAAAGAAAGAAGTCGAGAAAAAAGATAAACCTGTTGCTAAAAAAATTGAAAAAAGTGTTCCCGTCAAAGCCAAAGCATCTGATAAAGTAATCAATCAATCAGTTATTTATCAATTAATTAATTCATTAACGATTAATATCAACGTATTATTTTTCTTTACTTATCATCAACATCATCATCACCATTATCATATTTACTTTATATAGAAGACGACTACCAAGAGAGCTGCTCCAACTAAAAGAACCACTGAAAAAGCTTCTACTGGTGCATTACCTCCTAAAAAAGCAGCACCAAAAGCCAAAAAAGCCACCACTGCTAAAGAATCTACTAGTTCTACCAGAAAAGCCAAGCCAGCCGCTACTACTAGTACTTCTAAACGAGCAGCAGCTAATAAGAGGAAAACTACTTAATTGATTGATATATATATCAATAATATTTTTCTTTCCTTTTCCTTTTTAATCACTTATTTTTACAAAAAATAATAATAATACTTTATTAAATAAAATTAAATATATATATAATGTATATATGTATATGCATATAAAAAATATCACACAACAACTAATTCTTTATATATATCAATAATACTTTATCAAATAAAATTAAATATATAAATAATGTATATATGTATATGCATATAAAATATCATACAACTAATCCTTGTTTATATTCTCTCGTTTAATAATGGTTTTATGATGCACGGTTTCCTGAGGCAATAGATATTTATACCATTAGCAATAATATAAATAAATATGAATCCAATTAATGCACTTATCAATTAATTAATTAATAAATACTTATCAAGCAGTTTTCTTTTTGTTAATCTCGCTCCTATTGCTTGAGATTGGCTCATCTTTGTGTATAACTACTAACAACAGATTTTTTCTTGTTGTTACTATCTATTGCATATTACTTCCCACTAATGCATTTTTTATCGTGATTACTTTATGACAAACAACCTTGTTTTTGCTTTGTTAAACACTTGTTTAGAATTGATTTCTTTCTTTAAGTGAGCTTCTAACGATATTATATACATTTCTTTTTTTACATTTGATATTTTAAATTTACTTTCTCTTAATTTCCAACCCTATAAAATAATTGAAAATCTACAGCCAATAAAATGGTCAATTTTATTGATTTATGCTACTAACTATCTCAAAAAAAATTTTTTGATGATCAAGACTCTATCCGAAAGGTATTAATATAATAATACTAGAATCAACAACACGTAAAGAAAGCTGGTCAGTCGGCCAACTGTTTTTACATATTGTACCAATAATTATAAAAGTCATCATGTGGAAATAGTATCTTCACTTCAGCACAAAACCACCATTAACAAATAAATTAGAATAATCAAAACAAAATTCATTAAAATAGAGAAACCGGAGAACATTTTCTCATCTCAGGTGAATGCTGTCTTTATCACCTTGAAATAATTATAGTGTCAATGTGGGGGGGGGGGGGGTCTATGTTATTTCTATCGAGTGATGAAATATGGCCATCAACTAAATTACTCCATTCATTACGAACAAATATATGGTACGACTAAACATATGCTCCATTTTAACTTTTTTAAAAAAAAAAGTCCAATAGGCTTAGAGAAAAGATGAAGGAAAACACAGATGTTATCAGGGCAATGCTTTCAAACAATTAGTTAAGCTCTAGTTCTAGATTAAGTATCAAGATTAATTTACAAATTCGATTAATTACATACATTTTCTTTGTGAAAAAATTTTCTAAATGCTTTTTTATTATCTATTTTCGATATTTAAAGAAATCAGAAAGAACCGTTTAAAAAAGGTCAGTATATATTTGGCGATGATCAATTTTTCCAGTGGCACGTGACTATTTAACAGTTTACGCAACTTTCATACTTACCATTGTAAATGGTTGTATTGATCGGTAAATCAGTAGTTTTAATAGAGGATGCTCTTCCATTAACAATACTTTTTTAATTAAGAGAGATTGGTGGATAAGATCAAAATAGCAAAAATTCACTGACAGGCTCTTCTCATAATGATAATCTTATGGGAAATAGGTATTCATGATGCATGTTATATATATATCAAAAAAGAAGCCGTCATGGACAAAAGATTATTGCAAATAGTAGTGTCAATAGTGTGAAAGAATATAACAAAGCATACCAATGGATCTCTTGATTGTTGAGCAATAGCTGGGCATTTTCAACAATTATGAACTTGTTAATGTGAAATATTTAGTTTAGAGATATCAATCTTTGTCACAAGAGCTTAGATAGTCAATTATAAAAAGATTCATAAAATTATAAATTTTCTTTTTTAAAAAGGTTTTTTGCTTGTTGTTATATCAACGAAAATGTTAACACTCCCACAATCTTACTCACAATGAGAAACACCGAGGAAAAAAGAATTGAGAGGATGGATCAACTTGTTAGAGCTCGGCTGGGGGAATGCAAAAAAATAATAGAAAATAATCTGATGCCCATATCCAAAAAGAATGCAAAAAACTGCAACTGCCTTTGAATTTGAAACACGCTTCTAGGTATGGAAAATCTTGTTTATCAAAGGATCATAAAAATTAACACACAAAGGAGAAGAAATCCTATCTAGTAAAATATTTTGGTCTAAGGTATTCATTCAATCACGCTTTTATTTCTCTTCTTGAACCTGATCAGTGCCAGAAAGAGAGTTCGATCTTGTGTCAAAGCGTGAAGAAACATCATCAATGGGTTCTTGAGCAAAGGTGCTAAAACAGAGAATTAATTACAATAGAATCATATCTTTCAATTCAATGACTTGAATATTAAATGTGAACCTCATTTACCAAATTGTGTGGTAGTAGCGACAGCAGTAAGCGGATAATATATTAGTTTTCTGCATTGAGACTCTCTAATGTTAAAAAATGAATAGAGGTTTACAATCCTTTCTTAAATATCTTCATATACACATCATATATACACATAATTTTCTTTCTATAGTAATTACTAATATTAATGTTTTTTTTTGTTTTTAATCTCAATTCATTGTAAATAAATTTATTAAAAAAATAAAATTATAAAATCTAATCTAATCTAATCTTTTAATATCACTATGATCAAACGAATGATGTAATATCACAGAAACTTTTCTTTCTTGATCAAATAAAAAAAATACAGATATGAAATCTAATAATAATTCACCCATCAAAATTAACGGAAATAATAATAATTCAAATAATGACACCTTGAATAACTGTAATAATGACGATAATAATAATAGAAACACTAACATTGACACTAATGCTAACACTAACATTAATAAATCCAATAGAAGAAACTCGATAATAGAAAAATCTAAAGTGGTAGATAATGACAATAATCAAGAGAAGTCAATTAAAAATGAAGAAAGAGAAAGAGAGAACAGCAGTAACAGTAGTAGCAAAGTTTCAAATGTCACTGCTGCTAGTGGTAATATTAATGCTAACGCTAATAATAGGAATTATGAAGATGTCAATAACGTTATTGAAAATAGTACCAATAATAATAACGCTAACACTAATCAAGCCACATCAACAATATCATCAGCAAAATTAAAATCAACATCAACAAAGTCAAAACAAGATTCTTCAAATCCTTTTTTACTAACAAGTAAAACTTTAACAGATAATCATAATCATAATAATAATAATCAACAACAACATCATCAACTTCATAATCATTATAATAACAATAATCTTCCCCCTCTTCTTCTACATCATTCGCTTAATAATCATCATAAATCAAGAATGATGTCATCACCAGCTGGATCTTCTTCTGGTATAACATTAGTTGCATCTTCATTAACAACAATACCTTTAGATGTTCATCATCTTCAACATCATAATAATGTAACATCCTTTTTATCAACATTTGATGATGACGATGATGATGATGATGATGATGACGATGGTGATGATTATGATAGATCAATTAGACATAATGATAAAGAGGAGGGGGAAGAAATGTTAGAATCACAAGCTTTTCCACATAAATCAAAATATTTTTCAACATCGCCAAATAATAATAATGGAAATAATATATCACGTACTCAACAAAAATTAATGTTACAACGACAACATTTTCTATCTGATTATGGTGATGACGACGATGACATTTATTATAACAGTAACTATAACAGTAATAATGATTATAGTAGTAATAGCAATTATTGTTTCATTAATCCAAAAAATCAACTGAGATTAACAAAAACCATCGAAAGAATTAATAGAGAATATTGTGCAATAACATTGCATCAAGATCCGATGATCGAAAGTTTACACAGAGTTTTTGGAAGATGCATCCAAGAACATCCGGAAATTTTAGATGAGGATTTTAGTGGTGGTGGTTATAACAGCAACAACAATAAAAGAAGTGGGTTTAGTAGTAGTGGAGGTAATGGAAAAGGCAGAGTGTTTTGATTGCAAATAGAAATAAAGATATTGCCAACTCTCCTATTTTGAGTGTTGCTGATACTTTAACTAATAATAGTGACACTTATTATAAGGAATTTAAAAAAACTTTTTTAATATTTATTATTATCCTTTAGATTTTTTAATTATATTACTAGCATGTATTTTAGGTTTATATTATGATTAGAAGTTTTATTACATTTTTATTTAAATAAATATATTTTGAAAACATTTGTAAAAATTGGAATTATCACCATCTTACGAAATGAGTTGGGCACTACAAAAAAATAAAATAAACGTTAGATATTAATAAGCTACATGGATTTATACAAATAAAAAACAATTTATTGTCAATTTACCTCGTAACCACCAGGATTTTTATCAAGATATTGTTGATGATATGATTCGGCATCAAAAAACCTACCAGCCTCAACAATTTCCGTGACAATTTTAAAGCCTGAATACTTTAGCGGATTTATTATTTTTTTAGCTTCTTTATCCGCTTTTTCTTTAGCAGCATTCAATTTTTCTTGGAGACGCTGTGTTACATCTTTGGCTACATTTTTCTGCTCATCATCATAATAAAAAATCGCTGACCGGTATTGACTGCCAACATCTGGACCTTGACTATTTGCAGTTGTTGGATCATGAGTCTTGTAGAAAAATTCTACTAATGTCTCATATGATATTTTGGTTGAATCATATTCAATCTGTACTGCTTCTGCGTGTCCTGTATTTCCACTACATACCTATATAGTTGATTTTATCGATGACAATTAATCATTGAATATTATAAAATTTCCCACTATCAAAATAATAAATAATTATCTACCTGTTTATAAGAAGGTTTATCAGTTTTACCACCAATATACCCAACACGAGTAATTACATCAAAATTCTTTTTAAAAATATGTTCAACTCCCCTAATATTTCATATAAATCAACTAGGAATCAATTAAAAATGTATCATGAATCAACACAATTAATGTAATGTTTAATAACTACCAGAAACATCCAGCAGCGAAGGTAGCCTTTTGAATATGTGCCATATTTAAATTATTATTTGTTGTTGTATTATTTCGTTTTAAAAATTTAATAATGGAATCCAGTTTAATAAAAATTTAGATTTTTTAATATTCCAGTTGTGTTTATATATACATTTTAAAAAATCACAAATTTCTAATTATGGTCATCTCAAAAATTTACAATTATTCAATCGAATGCGGCACTATTTTTTTTAAAATTAATATTAAAAAATAGAAAATAGAAAAAACTATCGTTTAATTAATTTCTTTATTATTTATTGATTTTCTATCATTTTTAGTAAAATGTAAAAGGTGATTAAAATAGATATACAATTATATATTCTGTTCACTTAGATGTAAATATGACGCTTTACAGAATTGGTTTTACTAATTCTGGCCCAGTAGATGCTAATACTTATTATATATAGACACGATACTGAATTATAAAAGTGGGGTTTAGTGTGACAAGATAATTGAATCAGGAGTCCATACATTAGTAATTGTTGATGGTGACGGCGATCGTGTTCTCTTATTGGTAACTTAGAATACAATGATAAAATTGTTGTTGTTGATGGTGAAAATAATGATAGTATTTTTGATTTTATTTATTGATTTGCGGTATAGGAACAATTGGTAGGTGGAGAGTTATTATCCAACATGATGATGTATTATTCATGAGCAGTCATCAAATTGGCAAAACCTAATTTGTTAAATCGATTAATTATTAATTGAAAATGACTTTCTTCTTGTTGAATAAGCCAATCAATGAATATCGATGGTGGCATTAAATGATTTGATTTTCAGTGGCCCTGATCAAAATAATAAAAGTATGTATGTCGTACGCTTTACAAAAACTATGGGCGACTAATGTAAGCATTGTCTATTTTTTGCAAAAGGGTTGTTGTTTTCCTTTGGGCATGGCTCATCTAATAGAAATGGGGTGTATCCAGGGGCAATGCATCAATACCATCCAAAGTGCTTATTAATCCAGTTCAAAAGGTAGTTTCCTGCAACAACGACAAACGTCAACAACAATGCTATTACAGTATCATTGCGATCAGGAATAGTATAGTGGCAATATTGTAACATAATAATAATAGGTGAAATCTTGTAATAGTGAACTTTTTAGTTTCCCCATTAAATTAGATATGAACTGCCGCTATCATTCATGGTATCGTGAAACAATCGACGATCATTCCTATATTAAAAGCAATTCATTTTTTCTGTTTCACGAAAGTTTTATCGCGTCAGTCAACTCACTCACTCACTCACTCACTCACTAATAATACTACAAGATTCTATCTAATAAAGAAGATGTTTGAAGCACATTTAAGCCGAGGTGCAATACTTAAAAAATTATCGGAAGCTATTAAAGAACTTATTACAGATGCAAATTTTGATTGTAGCGAAGCTGGCATTGCACTTCAAGCAATGGACAACTCACATATAGCCTTGGTTTCACTTTTACTAAATTCTGATATATTTTCTACATATCGATGTGATCGAGGATTTTCCTTGGGTGTAAATTTAACTACTTTTAACAAGTTGTTGAGGTGTGCAGGAAATGATGACGCCATTACATTAAAAGCCAATGAAGATTTTCCTGAAACTTTAACTTTATCATTTGATAACTCAAGTAGGAAAAAGAAAAAAATTATTTAATAAGAAAAGAAAATTATTTATTATCATCATTATTAATTTATTTATTTGATGATTGATAACAGCAAATGATAAATTTTGTGAATATGTATTGAAATTAATGAATATTAATCAGGAACATTTGAGTGTTCCAGAAACCGAGTATGACGCTGAAGTAGTTTTATCATCAGCAGAATTTCAAAGGATTTGTCGCGATATGATGGTTATCGGTGAAACTGGTGAATTTATTATTTGTTACTATTACTATTATATTATGATTTTAATTGATCAACTAATTCATTTTGTTTCAAAAAAATAATAGTGAGAATTGATATTGACAAAGGAGAAATCAAATTCATTACAGAAGGAGATCTTGGCAATGGTAGTATCAAATTGAAGCCAGTTGATTCCATAAATAAAGTAAATTGTTTTTTATTTAATTTTTAAATTATTTGGAGATTTATAATATTTATCTACATTTATTAATGATTAGCCAGAAGAAAATATCGAAATTAACGTTACAAATGAAGTTTCACTTCAATTTTCACTTAAATATTTAATGAGCTTTACAAAAGGGTCACCATTATCTGATCAAGTTAAATTACACTTGGCTGAAAATACTCCATTGCTTGTAGAATATACTTTAAATTCAAGTAGTAATAGTTATCTTAGATATTATCTTGCACCAAAGCTCGATTGATAAATAAATAGATTGACAGATATAGTTTAATGATAATAGTTATAACAATAATTACAATAATTAGTTATAGCAACAATAGCAGCGATAGTAATAATAATAAATAGTGCAGAAATGAATTAAATAATTATTTTTAAAAAAAACTAGTTTAGTAGCATCTCTCTCTTTCATCAACATTATCAATTAATTCTATCTTTAAAACACAGCAACATTGATGAAATCATTTGGTTTTTTTAATAACATTTTTGATGATGATGAATCTTGTGAAAAAATCCATTGTTTTTAATAACTAAATACTTAATAAAAGATATAACTGATATTTAACTGATATGATAATTAATAGGGTTTGATAATGTCATAATGTTATACATTAAATTATTTATAGATGTTATGATACATCCATATTTACTAGTGAAAAACAAATTTCATAAATTATTGTGAAAAGAATGAGGAAATGAGAATCTACTCGTTAATTAAATGAATTTCTAAACAAATCTGACTACAATGGTATGGCATATACTTTTTTTGTAAATTAAATAAACCGATAATGCGTCTAAGAGCTAGATTGGCTTATTAAAACGGAGAGCCCACATTGGGAACGATGCTCTCGATTAACTACCAACACTTGTCATCGCATGTTGTTTGTTTTTACATGTTGCGACCTACAGAGTTCCGGATCTCACTTTCCACCAGTTGCATATACCTCTTATTCATCATGGTACTATATTAATTTATTGTAAATAGTGGTCATTGTGGGCATGATTGATATTCCCTCTAATTGGTTCGAGTACAACCAGCCTCAAGCAATCAAAATAAAAAAAATACAGATATTATTTGTGTAAGTTGGATTTTCCATTTCCTGTTTGTCTCGAATTTTTTGTTTGAATATGTCAACGATATCAGATTATCCACAAAGATGAAGAGAGTAAGGTGAAGAATTCCTTTTTTAATTTCTCCATCGGGTACTATTCATGACCATTTTTCCTTTCTATTCTTTAGTTCTTCTATCCAATTCTATTTTTGTCCATTCATTTCCACAGTACATCCTAAAAAAAGACAAACTATCATTAGGTATTAATCTACACTAAAAATTCCAAGAAAACATTTTACGAATTATCATTTGTCCTGGTAAACCTTTAAATGATTTAACAAAGTTGTTGGATGGTATCCGATCATCAGGGAGTTTTCCGATGCAGATTTTTACATTCAGTGCGAATATTACATAATTTTATGAGCGTGACATTATGGTGTGAAAAATTCCTGATGGAATATATCAACAGGTAAATGGAATGGATAACCCGCCATCCATGTTTGCACAAAAATTTTTTTTTTACTTGTGCAACAAATTTGATGAAGGCAACATATATACCACGAGGAAGTAAAGTTGGTATCTGGACCAACTGCAGAATGTTAAGACTGGTGTACTAATTATCAGCTGATATTTGATATCAAAGAAGATAAAAGCACACATACTCTTACTCTATATTTTGATAAAGGAAACAATTAAATTGGCACGTTACTAATCAATATTTTATTTATTTATAATTTACAAAAAAATTTTTTTTTACAATTTATTAACTTTTGGATAAAAGGATAATATTATAAATTATTATACTACCAACTAAAATCACACTTGAAATCAATGAGAAGAGAACAATATAAAAAGTATATTTTTTTCTTTTCATATTATAATTAATTTTTTTGTTTGTTGTAAAATATGAAGAAGAAGAAAATAGGAAAGGAAAAGCAATAAATGGTTTTGTTAATGAACTAAAAAAATTTATAATTTCTTCATCTTCTTCGTGACTACTGCTATTTGTTGTTGATAAAGAATGAAACACTGTCGAGGAAGATAACTCTTCATAATTATCGCCCGAAGAATTTTTTCCAATTATTGAGGGTAACTGTGGTGATTGTGGCGATTGTGGCGGCGATTGCTGTAATTCTGGCGGTGATGAGCTTTTTTCATTCAATATTTCCTCGTCATTATTATCTTCATTATTTGTGACAAAATCAGGTATTTTATCCAATAGAATGGCATCAGAAGACATATGTTTAAATCTTTTTAAACGTTTTTTTCTTCCAATATCTGAACTCTCTAAATTCATATTAGTTTCTTTTAACTTTGATGATAATCCTAATTCGTTATTATCATTACTTGAAGTTGTTGTAGAAGTTGTTGTAAAAGAAGAAGGCAAAGAAAATGTTATTCTTGAAGAATATCTTTTTAAATTATAACTTTTATAATATAATATAAATGGTATAATAAAATTTGCTGTACTAATAAATAATAAACTTGACCAATTAATAAGTATATTTAGCCAGATACCAGTTTGAAATGGTATAACCACTAGCCATCTAAATAATGTAGAAAGTATTGAAGATATTACTGTGGTAAAATAGGCGGGACGAGCGTGTAGAAATAATATCACCAGTTATTTATAATTGACAAAATAATAAAATATAAATAGAAATTCTTCACTAATTGAAAAAAAAAAAATACTTACTGTTATTACATATCCCAGATTCAATTAAATTGTATTTTATGATGATGGCATCAACAGGAATAGCAGTTAATAGACCAACAATTGGGAACAGATAAGTTGTGATTTCAATAAAAATATTTTTTTTCAATTTTTCATTATCATTATCTTGGATTTCCTTGATGATGTTCGAGCTCTGGTTCATTTTTCCAAATGCCAATGAACCCATTATTCCAATTAGTATATATGATAATGATGTAAATAGTACAGAGCATATTATTGTTTTATGAATTGAAACGTCCCTGTTCTGATTATTTGGTAGTGGAAATTTGGAGATAAGAAAACTTTTTAAATTAGTAAATTATGTTCAAAATAATACTCTAAAACACTAAAATTACAGAATGAACCAACACTAACCAGTTCATTAACTAAGCTTGGTATAAAGACAATAAATGCATAATTGAATAATATAGTACCAACTAGCTGAGACTGATCTTTACCAATTAATGGAACATTATTATGATTTAATCCATTAACAATAAATACCACTATCCATATAATCATAATTATAAATAATAATATTATTGCCACTATAATAAAAAAAAATATATGTAATAAGTATTTTCCAAAAGTAAACAAGTAAACAAGTAAATTAACTAAAATAAAATCATTACATATTTGTACTTTGGCATTGTCAGATAAACTTGATAATGTCATTGGTATAACAAATCCAAATGTTAACTACATAAATAATATCGATAAGTTCCTATATCCACAAAAAAAAAAAATCCCCAACTCAAATTATTAAAAAAAACCCCCTGTCCACTTACCAATAATCCAAAAGTAACCAACATATAATTTGATCCGAACGGACTGTTCTGTTCGGAAGTCAACTCATTAACACAAATAGCCTTGAACAAATTTGGATACAATTCAATGCCACAACTTTTCCCTGCGAATTTTATAAACATTTTATCAAGAGACTGCGACGAGATTATTATTGAAGTGATGATGATTGATTCAATCGACAAGAAAATTATTATTTGAATTATTGAACAAATTATTTTATTCTTGATTAGAATATTTGATAATTGTATATATTCAATTTTTTTCTACAATTATTTTATATATAGAATTTGGAGAATGATAGATAAATGGATAATCAGTAAATGGATGGAAATGTTGAGGTATTATTAGCTTTGCAATTTACCTGAAATTTTTCGTTACCAGGTATGGAACTTAACACTTCACATAATACAAGTGAAGCAGTAGTTGATAAAAATATTGCCAATATAAACATTAAGATTGATCTAACAAACAATGTGTATGTCATGTCATTTATATGATATAATCAATGTATGATTAATTAATTGATGACTTACGTTAACCATCCAGCTGATTGAAACAATAATGGAACTATATTTATTATCCACATATTCATCAAATAATAACAATAATAATTAATTTTAAGATAAATATTTTCAAAAACGCTATTATAATTTACATTTGTAAATTATTTATATACGCACTTGTAATTAGACCTGGTCCAATCATTGTAGCAACTAAAACTGACACACCACCAAAAAATGTTATTCCACCAGATCTAAGGCATTTTAATGTCATTAAAATCATTTTTTGTGATTAATTGAAAATAAAAGGTTTAAGAAAATTTTTCCACTTCGTCAAGAAATATAACGAAAAAATTTTTTTTAACCTTTGCCACAATATCATGGCTGTGCAATCAATTTCTTCATAATTACAATATATATTGCAAAAATCAGGCTTATTGATTAATATTGCTTTTTATGATTTTATAGTATGGTTTAATATTAAAGAAAAAAAAAAAACGAGAAGTTAAATTGTAAAACGCGTTTAACATCCATCGATCATGCAACGTAATGTATTTGGATAAATTAGACCCACCACAATTGTATTAGTATGTAATGTTATAATGTCTCTTGCCCAAGTGTTTTATTTTCGTTTCTCCTCTATCATTTTTTAAATTTTTTAATTATTTAATATGATAAAAATGGAATAATTAGTCTAAAAGTGCAGATTAGGCGAGTACTTTTCTTTTGGGAGATATATTTGCAAAATTATTTATATAAATGAAGCTAATTACATAATGACCATCATGGAACCCAATTTTAAAAAGAGAACAAGATGAGAAAATAGAACATTACATATTTAAATTGACTGAAACTCAAGCACTTGAAGATTATCTAAGGAAAGAAAGAATTACCTATGAAGTTTACTGACAAGAAGAAAGAAAAATAATAAACAATAGGAAAAGAACACAGAATGAAGCTAATCGATTGCTTAATAAAAAGTGGAAGAAGAAAATAATATGGAAAAAACCTTATGATAACATAAATTGGGGAAATCTTTTCAAGGTAAAAAAATAGCAAATTATCTATCTTTTTAGTTTTTTTAGAAATGTAATAAATAATAATAGCTATGATACTGAATACTAAAGTTGCAACCACTATTATAATCAAATAAACTTACATCAACTTTTCTTCTTTATTTTCATTTTTGAGATTACCGATTTTATAATAAACGTTTTATCCCTGAACTTTCCCACCACAAGGGTATCCAAAGACTTGTCAGAAATTTTCCTTGCTTTGAGAGATTATCATTAATAAAGATGTCAAAATCAGAATGACTTACTTTTATTAAACCTTATCGTAGCCTTTTCCTTCTTTGAAGGAAGGAGGATGGGTGTTTATTAAAATTACATAAAGTCTTACTTAATTCATGAGTAGTTTCTTTAATTCATAAAATAACAATTTTTATTGTTATAAGATATTTCGAATCAGATTTCAGACTCCAAGTCAGAACAGAACCAGATTGACTCATTTATAATTTTTGAATACAGAAAAAGGCTTTTTTTATGTATGCACGAAATTTATTGGATTTAAATTTCAAGAATTCTAAAAATTGTATATTTTGGCCACATTCTGGCTTTTCCATATTCTCTATATTAATTATCATAAAAAAACTACCCAGAATTTTGGCTATTGGATACAATTTTGGTCACTATTAAAATTAAGTTCAGCTATTATGAAAAGCTATTTGGAATTTTGAATTTGTCATGATCGTTTACTAATAGAATTAATTTTGGCTAACATGTATGGTGGGAACTGTATTGATAAACTTTTTTTAGACTTTCCCAATTGCAAAATTTTATTGCTCATAGCTAACTTCTAAACAATTATTAAATAGATAAGAGCCATAATGAGCTTAACAAACATACAAGTAAAATGACATATAATCCAACCGTTAAACCAACTTCATCCATCAATTGTGAAGAAAAAAAAATTTAATATACAGGCAGCCTAACTTTTTTACTCAATATTTTATTTTAAAAAGAAAAATCAATTAAATTATAAAAAATCATCACTTGCTTACTTGAAACAATAACGGGATTTTTTTCCTGTTTGATGATTTTTATTTTAATTGTACAGCCAAAGCTCGTTATAATGGATCCCATTATAATGTATTTTGTCTATATATAATGGACTTTTTTTTTATCTCCCCAATTCTCTTTATAATAACATTTGTTCGTTATAACGGACTTCTTTATAAATCTCTTTATTGTGTACGATGGACTTTATACAGAACATACATTATAAATTATGTTTGTTATAATGGAAATAATGTGATTTTAATTTAATCAAACATTGTTGGAGAAAGACAGAATCCTATCTAATACTGAAGCGATAAGTTTAAAATCAAATTTCTGAATTACAAGATTCAATTGATGCAAGATCCAATCATTGCAGAACATTTTATTTACATTGATGATGAAGTACCAGTAGAAGAACTAACTGACAAAGTAATTTTTTTTATGCACAGTGCGCATATTGCATATACACCACCAAAGCAATACATGAAGATTTGATTTCATTGTGGAAGACAATGAAATCATCAATTTGACAAATTAGTTGAAGATGAGTATGTACATGTTGCAGGTAAAAACTCTAGTACTATTTGACAAAATCGTTATTTCAATGTATTGTTTAAAAACAACAACTAATGATTCTATTGCTTAAATTTTATTGCAAAGGTGACGTGCGTAGATGTTATGAATTGATTTTTTTCTTGGTAAAATTGAAATTCCCGAGTCATGTAGATCAGTTCTTGTTTCAAGATTATGGAAACAATAAAAGTAGGCTAAAGCTTACCTTGTATTTTTCTTTATGTTTAAGAATCAGCATGATAATAACATTCAAAGTAAATTTTTTTGTTTGAAATAGAGAAAAATTATCTAACCAAATGACAAAAAAATTTTCGAAATAAATATTTTCCATACACCACTAAAATTTATAGAAAGATAAAAATAATCAATAAATAGTATATAACAAATAATATTATAATAGCCGTAATTATTAAAGGCATAAAGAAAGAAATTTAGAGTCTATATTTTAGTTCTTCTGGAGATTTGTTTTCATTATTCACATTTAAGAACAATTTGCTTGCCAACTGAAGGTGATTGATTGGTGATTAACCGATTTGAAGTAGTGAGATGCTAAAAATAGTACTAATTAAAAACTTTTAGAAATGGAAGAATTCATTTTTGATGATTTGTTATTATTTTCAGAATGACAAAATAAATAACGTAGATCCATGCATATTTTACAGAAAAAGAAATTTTAATTTATTTTTTTTCACCAATTCATTCTTTTATTTAAATTTTTTTTCTAAAAAAAGTAATTTTTAATCAAAAGATGTTTACACATACCAATAATTGCTATGACAATAATTTTATATATTGTCCAATCTTACTACAATAACACTGACAGATGCGACACTTTACCCGGACCTTCCCATTCCCAATATTCGGCAATATGCCACAATAATATTCCAACATCGATTTGACATCTCAAAATTTTTCTCGATTGTAGCGAGAAATATGGCGATTTGTATGAAATCCAAATAGAGAGGTGGTAATTGTCAATCTCAAATAATTTGACAACATGTTTCTCTACACGGCCAAAAAAAAAAAACAATTACTTTAGGCGATTTTGGAGGGCGAGAACGGATTGAAAGATTTAGGTCTTTTGAATCGCGGATTAATATTTAACAACTTGACGAAAGCTTGGAAATGCAATCGACAAAATTTTTATTGACATGAGAGTTTTGATGAGGTTGTTATGGCTGCCGTTTATAATTATTTTGTCAAAATGGATACTCTTTGAAGGATTTTATTGTTTATGACGACGATCATGGTAGTAGTAAATAAGAGAAAGTGATTGATTCAGCTAGCAGCTTGGTTTCAAAGAGTATCGATAGATTTGATTATTAATGTCACAACTAGCACAAATTCTTACATAGCAGAATCATATTATATATTATTAAAACAAAACCTACAACGCGGGATCATTGTTGAATAATAATGGTAAGGCTGATTTAGAAAAATGGAAAGAATCCGAGAAAATTTGTAAAGTCCTTTAGAGAAATGATTAGAGCTACCCAAATGTTTACGAAAAAATCTTTCCTTTATTAAAAGTTTAAATAAAAAATGGCCAACAAATTGGATGGAATCATTCTAGAGAAATATAGAGAGATACCTTTATATAAAGAATTAAACTATGATATCTTAACCTCAATGCTGACCATTAATACACCAGGGAGAGAAAAAATAGCAAAAGTACTTTTACCAATAATAAATTTGATGATGACGAAGACTTAAACGACAATAATAACGGACAATTATTCGTGGAAACCTTTAACAAGTTAGAATACTGCGAAGCAATGATTCAAGAAGTTGGACGTATTTTACCTAGTGGTGTTAGCCGGAACAAGTCGGTGGGTACGTATGACCACCCAATACACGATTTACAGTTGCAATACAACAGAATGAGGCCGATTGGAAAGATGCCAAAGTTTTTAACCCTGATCGTTTCCGTGGTTCTGATAGAACCATCAAGGAAAATAGCTTAATGATTTTGGTGACGGATTGAGGATTGTCCTGGCAGGGAGATTGGTAATGATTGAGTTGAAGAGCATGTTGATTTATATTTATCACAAATATGATATTGAGTTGGAAAATTGAGGCGCTTTCAATGAATATTTGTAAAATGAATAATAATATTTAATGTCATTCATTCGTTTGTATTTAATAATAAAAGGAGCCATCGTTATATTTGTTTATAATTTTATTTTTTGCCGATTTTTATTTTGTTTGCCAAATGCCATGAAAAGAAAATGCGAAAAAAAAAAATTTTTATATCGAATAATCAACGAGAATATGATTGATAAAATATTATGAAGAATTGAAAAAAAAAATGAAAAAATTATATTATATAAAAAATAAATAAATAATAACATTGTATTTACAAAACTTTTTATAAAATGGAAAAAAAATCGAATTAAATTGTTTTTTACGAAAACAACGAATTATTTTTTTTACGAGTTGGAATAAAAATATTTTGTAATAATAATTTATGAGACAGTATAAATATCTTCGGAGAATTGAAAACTATAATTTCTTTTATGACAAGAACCAATTTGTTGGTTGCTATTGTTGTTATTATCGCTATTACTACTATTTGCATTTCTGGGCTTTGGTAAATTTTTAAATCTATACAATCTACTTGATTGCATTAAACTATATCGTGATGGTGACGAACTTCTTCTAGTTGTAGATGATGATGATGATGTCGAAGTGGTGATATTATCTTCGCTCTCATCATCATTATTTAACCATGGTTCTTCTTTTCTTTCTAATAATTCAATGCCTTCATCAGCTTCAAGTTTGTCTTCGCCATAATAACGATCAAGTATTTCTATAATTCTATTATAAATGTACTCAGCATTCGGTCTATTAACAGGGTCGGCGTCCCAGCATTGTTTCATTAACAAAATATAATTTTCAGGCAAGTATTTTTGATTGCTGGGTGTTTTAGGACGTAAGCCTTTCACGATGTCAATAGCCAACTTATAATCATGCGATCGATTGCCAAATGGTGTCTCGCCATCAATCAATTCCCACATAATAATTCCAAGACTGTAAATATCCGATTTCGTAGTATATCCATCACCTCTCAAAGCTTCTGGTGCAATATATGGCAAGTTTCCGTAAATATTTCCTACTCCAGATGATGATGATGATGATGATGATGATGAAGGCTTATTAATTGGACCAGAGAATCCTAAATCACCCAACTTCCAATCTTTCAATTCACTAGAATACAAAACATTTCCAGAGTGCAAGTTTTTATGTATGGAATTTGCTTCATGAATATGTAATAGACAATCAGCGATTTTCTTTATTATACTATATTTTTTTGACCAACTCAAATTTGAAACATTGTTGGCATTGTCTTTAACAAACTCTTTCAAGTCATAATCCATTTTACGCATGACGATCATGTAGTCTGATGTGGTTGGGTCTTTGGTGATACCGTAACATGTTACAACATATCCCAGTTTCATATTTAATGTAAGATATGATTCGGCCTAAAAAAAAAATAGAATGAGGTTATTTTAATTGAGCCAAATTTTTTTAAATCAAATTTCTTTCTCTCATTCTAAAAAGAATGAAACAATTACCTCTTCAAACCAATCATTTCCATGATTTTTGAAATTGTCTAGACGTTTTAATATGACATCTTTTGGACCGGAGCGATATAACGAGTGGCTTTCAGGTAACCATTCTTCGTTTGGACCTTGAGACCAGACAGCATTGAAAATTGTAGAATAAAAATTTTTTGATTTGAATTGCACATTGTTGAAATTTTCATAAGGTATCCATTCAACAATTCCATATGGGACCAGAGTGTTAAGTTGGCATTTACGAATTAATTCATCGATTCCTTGATTACCAGAGGTCCAAGACATAAACTGTTTTTCCAGATGTTGTCTAATACACAGTTCACAATACTCAATCGAGTAACACCATTGTTCACATTGGTCACAAAATCTTTTGCTACCATCTTTAAACGACACTTTATAAACATCCACCAAATGATTTAGTTGAATTAATGCAGCGGATTTTTCTTTGGAGTTTAACGAGGTGTCATGGAGGATTGATCGGTATAAGAAAGAACTTTGTTCGTCGATTCCTCCGTGAATTGTTGAATTCAACGATAGTATGGCATTTCTCAAAGCATCAAGTACTGCACTCTCCCTAACAATTGTTGTTGTTGATTCCATTCTGATAAATTTGTTTTTAGTTTATTTTTTTGAGAAATTGGTTTCTTTTTTATTTATTTTATAAAAAAAATTTTTTCTTGAATTTCCTATGAGAAATATTTAAAGAATTTTTTTTTTTAAGGATTTTTTTATTATTATTTATAAAGAAAAAAATATTTGTTTTGACTATAATTGTTTGTGGATTTAATCCTTTTTTTTATAGTTTTTTTTTTATTATAAAAAAAAAAATTATATGCGAGATGTGAGAGAAGAAGTTGGTTGGTTTCAAGATTTATTATTAAAAAATTTTTTCATCATCACAAACAAACAAAAAAATAAATTAATAATTTTTTTATTTTTTAAATTTCACCGTCTTGTTATCATCCATCAACAAGTGTGAAACTAAGAACAATTATAAAATTAAAGAACAATTATTTGAAAATTAGCTCGCTCCAAAACAAATGTCACAACAAACAAAAACAATCTAATTCATCATCACACGTTCTTTTTTTTTTCTTTTTTTGAAAATTTATTCTAAAAAAAGAATTTTGGCTAATTTTTTTTACCAATTAGTTATATCATATGTTATAGAGATAAAGATGTGGAAAAATAAAAAAATAATAAATAAAAAATGTTTAAAATCAAAAAAAAAATAAAATAAAAAAGTTAAACAAATGAACCCATATGCATAGATTTTGATGAAAATATAAAAATAGTATTAGTATACTTTGTGTTTGGTCTATCATAAAGTTTGTTCAAATTGGTAATTGAATTGCTATATTTAATATCCTGTTTGTTTAGCTTATTTCAGTTATTTTAAGTTTATTTTTATTTTTTATTTATTGATTGTTATTGTGATAATTAATTAATTACTATATAAATAATAATAGTAGACCTATATAGCGAGTGGCTCGTTCAATTTATAATTCCTAATTCTGAAACATTAATATTAAAGAGCGAGTTATGGAAACAATATACTAAATATGTGGGATATATTGGTATAATGCAAAAAGTGCATATAAAAAATGTGGGCATTAGCATATAATTTAAAATTTAAACCTGGAGTATAAATTTAATAAAAGTCAATCAATGACTATCTTTCTTCTACCATTTACTACCATCATAACACATAATAAATAATTGTTCATTAATCTATATTTAATTTATGTAACATCATCATGTATGTACGTTATGTAATAAAATCATATGTGGTGTGGAGATTGTTGATTAATAAAATAAAACTGTTGAAAATTTGCGGGAAATGCAAGAGAATATAATTTGGAAAGAAACCCATATGCAATGGAAGAAATTTCCGAATAATAGAAATTATGAAGATCATTCCAGTGATTAAAACTCGTCATTATTATAATGAATTATTGTGATGATCATTGGCAATAATAGTAACTATAATTATAATAATCACGTCGGCAATAAACAAATCTAACTCGCTTTTTAAAGCCTAACAAGAATAATTTTTCGTTTCTATACTATTTCCCCAAAGCTTGATTTTTTCTTTGTCTTAATTGTCTTAAAATTGTAAATAATAAATGATGGATGATAATAGATGATAATAAATGATAATAAATGATAATAAATGATAATAAATGATAATAAATGAAATAATAAATAAATAATAAATAAAATTCACATAAACAACGAATAACATTACCAAACGCTTCTACATAAAGATCAAATAACAGGAATGCAAACACGTAATTTACAAATATGATGAATCAGAGACCTCCCAGTCAGTTGAACTATAGATCCCGATTGAATTCGAAATTGAATGAATCTAATTAGTATTAATATGTTTAGTTTTTATTTCGTTGATCACTTTGTTTCCCAATTCTTTCAATTTCAATGTGTTGGGACAATTGCGTTCACAACATCAAACACGAAAATATTGTTTTGTTATTGAAGAACAACAATAATAAATAATAGTGATGGTGTGTGTGTGGTGTGATGTTTAAATATTTATAGTCGAGTGAGAGTGAGAACACACGTAAATACATAAATATTCACATTCACACTTGAAAGCTTAAAAAATTTTTTTCTCAAGTAATTGTGACACTCAATTAATTCATAGCCAATTAACTGTTATGAATCTAACTCGTATTTATCACACCATCATTCCTTCTTTCTTCTTTATTGCCGTTGTCATTTCCACATCGAATTCCCGAGTTACACTCGCTAATGTATTAATAATTTGTAGTCAAAGACTAATTTAAAGACGGTAATGGATTAATTGATTGATGGATCCATCTAAAACAGAAACGGCAACAGAATATAAAGACAAAAAACGACGATCATGACAAAGTGATCCAATTCCGTTCAATTGTTTTTTTTTTGTACCGAATAATTTCATTTAAAAAAAGATTTTAAAATGAACCACATTTTATTTGTTGTTTGTTTTGTTTATCTTGAGTTTTTTTTTCAATTCAGAAAATTTTTTCACTTGGCGTCCCATTAAATTATTATAATTACCATTTTTATTTGTTTTTCAAAAACATACAACATTGCAAGATACGAAAAATTAAATGCATGCATGTGCTTAAAAATAAAATAAGGATTTAATTAAAGTAATTGCTTAAAATGTAGTGAGTGCAAAAAAATTCTGAAAACTAATTCTTCCTTGATTTTAATTTCTATTTATAAAGTTATCCGAATAATGAATTTATTTTATTGGTTTAAAGCCGTTTTGTGGCGTTTATTAAAGCCGTTTTGTGGCGCTTATACATTGCAGATCAAGTGTCATTCAGCGCACAAAAGTACTCTAATTTGCCGGTTTTTTCCGGCAGAATTTTCATTCTTCCAGTAAATCTTTTAATTTTATTTATTTCCGACGATCATTTTATATTTTCATCCATTTCAGAAAAAATTTCCGAAATTTTCACAAGAAAATTTTGTGCGCTGGTGTCATTCATTATAACTGTTACACGAATAACATTTTTGTCGTTCCATTTCAAAAAAAAAATTTGTTGTTTTTCTTTTAACAAATGACTTTTTCAATCATAATAAAATTTTTAGAGCCAGACTAGTGCTTCCTAACAACTTTAATTATTTGTTATTCTACGCCAGGCTGCAAGGGTTACTTTTTTTCACATTAAGGTTTTCTTCCAACTAACGCGCAGAATAAAGTAAACTCAGCAGTAATAGTTGTGTCAAAGTGTTTCTTACAAAGTTGTTTATAATCACTCAGGAGGTTGTATTGGAAAAATTTTGACTTTTGTTATAAGAAATTGATTCATAATTATTTATATGGTTATTATTTTTAGAATCACATAAACCAAATTTCAAAAATAATATTAATAATGAATCAAAAATTTTATTATCTATTAATATGTAAAGAAAACATATTTATGAAATTGAATTACAAGTTAACATAGCATGGAATATTAGTAATCACTTTATACATAAATGTGTATATATATATATATATTCAAAAAAAGGATCAAAAAATTTTTTTATCAAAAGACTCACAGTGTCTACCATATTTAGTTACCAGAAGACAATTTAGAAGAACAATAACTAACAATAACAATAAATCATATATACAACTAGAAACAAATGTAGAGGGGATCTATCACCACTATCCTTTTATTTAATTAATCAATATCCACATACACATCATTATGTATATTAATAATTATGTATAAAATATCCAATCTTTATTTGTTTCATCTTTTTCCTGATATCATTATAATCATTCCTATAATCATAAAAATAAAACATAAAAAAATTTTCAATATCTCTATAATAATATCTATATATTACTGTATTCTTTTAATTATTAATTTTGAATAAATGATCTTACAAGTATAGAGTCTAATCCTTGTTGTTGTGAAAAATGAATATGCCTTGCATGAATTGCATCTTGCACCATGAAGTGTATCCGCATCACATCTTGTTTGAATGATTCGATTAAATCTCTTATTGTATGTACCATAATTATAATAGGAAAAATAAACGGCACTTCAAATACCTTTGTTTGAAATCCTATTTAAAGTAATAGTATGAAAAACAATAAGGAAAATAAATAGCATTAAATTTACACTTCAATATCTTCGTTTGTAATCCTATTTAAAGTAACAAAATGAAAAACAATAAATAAATTAATAACTACTCAAAAAAACCAAATCTGTTATGCGGATTTAAATTCCACCTAAAAAGCATTAAAATTATCTGGAATGAATATTATTTAACTATTGCATCTAAATTTATTATTTCAAAAAGTTGAGATGTTGTGCGTTACCCAATTTCATTATATATAACCAATGTCCAACTTCAGGTCAAGATTTTCTTAAAGCTTTATTTGTTTACCCCTGGCAAAAAATATCAAAATAAAGGTTTTTTCGTATTTTTATAATTAAAGAAATGATTTGATTAATTGTGCAAGTTTATGCATGCAAGCATGATTTTTTTCATATAAAATTCCATGTCAATCGAAAAATTTATTATTAATATAAATAAATAACATATGTAAAATTTTTGGGTTAAAATCATATCAATTGACCAGAAGGTGACAATTATTTCAAGATTATAAGCACTGATGTTACTGCTATTGTTAAAGGTATGTGTGATTATTTTAACATATTAATTTCTTTTTCCAAAGGTTGAACGATCTGACGATCTGACAGTGTACGCGATCATTATTAAATTATTTATTTTTAGAAAATAAAAAATTATTTGTATTTGATAGAAAATTCAACATCAAAATATTCTAATTAATATTCCAACAATATACTATTAATAATAAATTATTAAAAGGAATGTAAGCAATGTTGCATCAACTATTAATTATTGATTGCTTTTTTATTTTTTTATTACCAACTCGTATCCATGGAATTATGATTATTACCACTGCCACCGTCATTACCACCACAACCTTTAGAGCTTTGTTCCGAATATTCAAACCTTGCTTGATGTACAGCCAAAGGTCTATCATTAATAAATAAATTTCTTTATTGTTAATTATTATTTCTCCAATTCTTCGTATTCATAATTATCAAACAAATAAATTA